CTTACAAGGGCACCGGGGGCTTCTTCGAAGCCCTCCTGCCACAGAAGTCGCTCGCACGCCTCCTCGGGGGCCTTCGGGCTCCACACGCCTGTCTCAGTGCTCCTCAGAAGCTCGACCCAAAAACAAACGACATTACCACTCCTACGGCCCTCCATGTTGCGATATGGCCCTCGGGTGCCGCAGCGTACACCGCGCAAATGCTCACGCCAGATCCCCTATTATACGTTAAGCACCCTGGGGCCATAGCTAGGGTGGTGTCGTTTGCTTTCTGGTCCAGCAGCCTCTAGTCGGACAGGGCTAGGACGAGGATAGATAACTCCTTTCCAGAGCGCTCCGGAACGCTCCCAGAGCGTTCTGGAACGGTCTGAGAATGCCGCGGCGCCCGATGCATCTTCCGCGACCCGCCAGATTCCAGAGATTCTCGAATGTATCCCCGCCCGATGTTGTCTTCGGCCTGGCTTCGTCGTATCTAGCCGTCTTCCTCAATGCCGTCCCCCCTCGCCCCACCCCCCTGTAGAAGCACCGCCAGCTTCGGGACGCTCACCGGAGGGCTACCCCATCAGCGCCACCATATGCTGCTCCCGTCGGAGGGGTGGCGGAAGGCCGGTGGAAGGGGAGCTCCGAGACGCCTCCATTTTGCCATGGGGGAAGCGGATCCTGAGCGAAACGGGTCATGAGGTTTTTCTGTGTTTTCGGTCTCTCGGGGCCCTCTGCGGGCCCCGGGACTTTCAGAAATCGACTCAGGATGAACAAGTCGTTTTGGGGGAAGGCCCCAGGATCCAGGACCCGTTTCCCTCGGGACCCGTCTCCCCCATGCTAGAGCCTTTTTGATTTTTGAGATCCAGGAAGTCTGGAGTCGGCCAACGCATCGGCGGTTGGCGTCCCCTCTCTTTGGCCCCTTCTGGGGCCGTCTTGGGGCCCTCGTGGGCCGTCTTGGGCGCTTCTTGGGGCGCTCGTAGGCCGTCTCGGGGCCCTCTTTGAGGCCTCTTGGGCCGTTTTGGGGTGGTCTTGGCGGCCAGTTGGGCCGTCTTGGAGCGTCGCGAAGCCGAGCGGGCGAGAACGCCAACATCGATCAAACACTTGATTGTTGCCTTGGGGGCTTCTCGGGCCATCTCGAGACCATTTTGGCCGCCCCGGGTTCTCGAAGCCTAGGGGACACGCGGGAAGCCCTGGGGGGCGCGCGACAAACCCCGGGAGATTTCGGAAATTGTGCCTGGGCCCCTTCATGACTCTGCAGGACTGAGGGCTCGGGCCTTAGGGATCAGGCAGAGGACCTGACGACCCGCCCACTCCGTGCCCAGAGGCGCGGTGGCGGATGTCCCTTTGGGGCGTTTTCTGGAGGTTTCCGGTGAACTTTGGAGTCGCGCGTCCTACGGCAAGAGGACTGTTTGCCAATCACCATTTGGTCTGTCTGGAAGTGCCTTCGGGGCGGCGCAAGGGCGACAAAAAAATGTAGGTCTTTGCGTGCCAGTGGATTTGTTTTTGCGGAGTTGGGCGCCCTGGCGCGGACGGCCGAACGACCCCTGCAGCGGGACACCCTGGCCACACGGTCGCCGCCGCAAAAACTGCCCGTTCAAGGCTGGCGCCGCGTAAAGGAGGCGCCGAACGGCGACGCGCACGGTCGCACGCGCCGAAGGCACTCTGGAAGTGCCTTCGGAGTGCGTGTGAAGGACGGCGGTCCGCTCACCGGCAGCGCCCCCTCGCACGCCGAGGGTCTCATCGTGCGCGAGCGTCGTGCTATCTCGGCGGGCGGGGCAGCCGTCCTGGGACGAGCAGAGCCTGCGTTTCAGTGCGGCTGCTGGCGATGAGCATCTAAACACATGTCGTCATTTTCCTGTACTCGCAAGGGTAAAGGTCCGACGTTTGAAGCGGTTCAGGCGATGGCGCAGGATGGCGAGCAATACAGTCAGTGATTTAGCACATGCTTCGGTGGTCTGCTCTGGATGGATGGGGCATTCTCGGAGGAGGGCCCAGTGCACTCACATGCCCACTCTTGGACGCATCAATTCGAGGGAGGCATGGTGGCGTCCAGATTCCGGACTACGAGAGTGGCAGGCAGTAGCAAACACAGCAGGAGTGACAGTTCGGAAACATTTGCAAAGACACAACATATCACGCAACGTGGCCTTCTGAGCACATGGTCACCAAACACCTCAAGAACGCAATAGGTGGAAACCAGGGGATCCTACGTGTTGGGCTGATCCGTACTATGTAACAGCGTGTTTGTACCAGTGGCACACAATGCGCACCGCAGGCAGCCTGAGGAAACAGTGCTGCCCACTCAACAGAGAAAGGCATTCAAGCAACATTGTCCCTGTCCCTCCCCGCAGAGAAATCCATGCAAGCAGCATTCCAGCATGAGAGGTTCGTTACAATGGGTGTGTGACCTGATCGTGTTAATAGTTATGTCCACCGTGCCTCGCACCGACGTTTCACTGTTGCGATCCCAGACACCGCGAGGAATTGGAAAGATGTCGGTCATTATCTTCGAGGGGAATGCACTTTGAGGGAAAAAGGTCTTACATAGCGATTTGGGTCATTGTCTTAAATACCAGGAAGCGCAGAAGAGGAGGCGTGCCCGCCCAAGGTTTGGCTACTGCGAACCGCTCCGGCCGCGCAGGGCTTTAGCAAAACCAAGCAGGACTTGCAGGACCTTGGCAACGTCAACAATGCCGTGGTCGCTGGCGGGGAGGACAACGTCTCCACCAAGTTTTCGATGCGGGAACTCATGGCGCAGTTGGACGGCAGAGCGGGACCCCTGGAGAACGAGGCGATGAGCACAACATCCGATCGTGGTCGACGTGGCTGAAGCTTGTCAGCAGCACGCGAAGCCCAGGGAAACGCATTCAGCTGAAATCTTGGATTGCCAGCTTCCTAGGCAAACCGCGCACTTCTTCACGTCTAGGGAACTTGCGGTACAAGGGCTGTTTGGCGAGAGTGCAGCAGCTGAAGTTCGTTGTCTAGACGCGAATGGCAATGGTGGAACAAAGGCAGAGCCAGACGTAACAGGCAGATGGGTTCGAGAAGCGAGAGTGTTTCCGACGCTCGGCCAGCGGAGGAAGCCCCAGAAGCCGCGCTTGTTGTTCAGCTTGCGCGGAACATAGGCGGCAAGCCAGATGTTCGATCCAATCCCGAGCATCCTCACTGAATATGCCGACGACGCAACGCATTCTCCTCAAGAGCGACGTTTTGTGTGTAGAAACCGTTGTAAGCGAGCTGGCCCGAGCAATTGGCGGTAACATTATTACAAGTAGGGCCCCTAGGGGCAGCACGGCTAGAAAGTTGGTGGCGAAACCGAATGTAAACGCATGCGATGGTTTATTGCGTGTGTTCTGCAGGATGGCCTCATGCTCCTGCGCGTCCAGTTCATGGCCGCTGCTGCTCTTTCTTGTTGGTTCACTTGCCTTGAGTTACAAGGTGAGAGGTATGTGCCAGGACTCGCTCCGCGTCTGATTGCGACCCGCCTGCTTGCCCCTGCACATTGACTGCCAATCGGATGCCCTCGGGGCCCAAGTGTCAGGCGCTGTGCGGGCGCCAGCCTTCAGAGCAGGCCTCACTGAGGTTCAGAGTGCAACCTTCCTGCTTGCGCTTCCATGTGGCCTGCCAGTCGGATGCTTGTGGGGACCGAGCGTCATGTGATGTGCGAGGGTAGGTGCGGGGTTTCATTCTCTTCGAGTTTGAGTTTTGTGTGCCCTGGCTGCTGTGTTCAAAAGCCAGGCCCCTTGTGCAGGCAGCAACCCACTGCATCTGCCTTCGCGCGTAGCTCGCCAGACCCAGCAAGCAGACATGGGCACATATAAGCTGTATCCCCCCAGGTTCACAGGTATATTGGTTGAGTTGACATGAGTTGATTGGGTGAGAGCTCCTCCTCCTCCTCCTCCTCCTTTTCCTCCTCCTCCTTTTCCTCCTCCTCCCCCTCCTCCTCTTCCTCCTCCTCCTCCTCTGCCTCCTTTTCCTCATCCTCCTCTTTTCCCTTTATCCGCCTCCTCCTCCTCCTCCTCCCTACGCTTCGCTCCTCCTCCTCCTCCTCCTCCTCCCTCCTCCTCCTCCTCCTCCTCCTCCTCCTCCTCCTACCTCCTCGTCGTCCTCCTCCTCCTCTTCCCTCTCCTCCCTTCCCCGTCCTCCTTCCTCCACGATCCGGCTGCCTCCTCCTCCCGTCTTCATCCTTCCGACCTCCTCGTCCTCTCTGCTTCTTGCCCCGGGGTGGTGGCGGTATACCTGTGTGTGCTGGAGCCTTTGTCGCCCAGGTGTCTCGGTCCTACCTGCCCAGACCTCCAAAGTCTTGAATCAAAGTAAGGCGCGAGGTTTTTTACCGGTTGTTGGCCCCCGGGCCGGGGCCCTCGCGCGGGCCTGGTGCCGACAACGAACGATCCGCGCGGCGTGACGAGCCAGCCCTGGGCACGGTGTCGGGATTTCGGGGCCCCCCATTGAACGTGTCAAGACATCGGACATACGTACGATCCCTGGGTTTTTCTTCGTCGCCCAACCAGCTCGGTCCTGCATTCTTTCCTCCACCGACGTGCGCGAGAGCAGAGTTCAGTGGCAACGTTCGGATGGATAGATTCCGGGGCAATTCCAGGGGGGGACAGCCCACCCCATCCAGGAGCACGCGAATTCGCAATCGGGGGCCCATCGCCGATTCATCGGCGATGCACCGCCCATTCAAGCTCCCTGCCTCTCCCCCTGAGGCGGTTCCCCCCCGACGTTGCCCCTGCCCTCACGCGTGCGAGAGCAGAGCTGGGGGAAGCAGGGCTCATTTCGACTCCTCCGATTCGATTCGATGTCTATGGCTTCCGATTCCGTTTCGGTTCGATTTCTGATGCCGCTTCGGATTCTCGATTTTTCAATGGAGGCCCACTGGCCTGCCGATTTCCGCCGATTCGACTTCTCCCGACTCGGCTGCCGGTACCCGCCGATCCGATTCATACCGATCGCCGACCCGACTTTTCGATTCGATTCGGGGCTCTTCTGGGGCAACGGGGATGGCGGGCGCGCCCCAGGTCGGCGTGCCCAACACCGAGGAGCGCTGCCAGATCCTGGCCGTGCACCTCGCCGGGCTCCGGCACGGCCTCTCCGGCGAGGACGCCGCGGCCTCCCCTCCGGGGCCCCGGGAACCAGGGCATCGGAGTCACCCCAACGTTGTAATACGATTACAGCAGAGCAAAATCCCAATCAGGGGATGGTTTGAAATGGAATTCATCAAGTCATCGATAAGGAGATCGACCGGGAACCCGTGAACCCGGGAACCCGGAACCCACCGAAATCGGCCCAGAACCAATAATTAGGAACCCGGGAGCCCGAAACCGGGAACCCGGGATCCCAGCCGGCTACCAGAATCGTCTGGAAATGTTCGCCAAATCTTTCAGTATCAGCTAGGACCCCTTCAGTGCAAGCACTGACTGGGACATTTCTGCGTCGCCCCTCCAAGAAATCTGCGCGGACCTCCAAAAGTTCTGAAATCCAGCTGTAGAACACGAAGGTGGAGACTGGTTCGACCCACGGCTCAGGTTCCTCTGGCTTTGCAAGGTCCGCTTCTGTCGTAATCCCAGCATGCGGGGCCCTGATCCCACGTGGTCCCAGGATTCCAAGCTGTGTCCACGGTTCGATCTGCTCGGCTGCGTCGCGCTCGGTTGCGCTCGGTCGGTTCCGTGTGGCGGCGGCTGTGCCCCTGCTGCGTCGCGGCGCCTTTCTTAGCTGCCTGCGGTCTGTCGTTTTCGGTCGGTTCTGGTTTCGTTGTCGGTCCGATCAATTCTCTGCCGCTTTGGCTAGGAACCCACTCGGCCGTCCTCTCGGCGGCCGAGTGTCGGCGGCGAGCGAGGGGGGGAAACGAGAAGGGTCGGGCCTTCTCAGAAGGCTCGGAAGTCCTGCAGCCTTCGGAACAGTTGTCTAAGCCTTCCCCTAAGACACAGAAAACCTTTCAGAAGGCCGGAGGCCTTCTGCGAAGTCTTGCTCCGGGCTCGAGAGATGGGGGTCAATACAAACGGGGGTATGTCAGAGCGCCGGATCTTTCAGGATGCTGCAGAGCCAGGGTTGCATTGACCCTGGTTTGGGTGCAGGATCCTTGCAGAATCCTGCGCAGCCTGACTGACCTGGGTTTGGATTTCCGGGTCAGTAAGGCCTTCTCCCGATCACTTCCTCCCCCCGCTCGCCGCCGAGAAGGGGCGAGAGAAGCCAGAGGGGCCGAGAAGGAATTCCGTGGTACCCCTCCCCTGCGACTCTGTGGCTTGTCTGTGCCGTTGGCCACTGGGGATCTCGACCTCTGCCCGGGGACCGGGCGCCTGGAATCCAGCATGCGCGCGGGCGATCCGCGCTGCCCGCAGTAATCACGGCGAGATCGCTGTGTGTGTGTGTGTGTGCGTGTGTGTGTGGGAACCGATCGGGGCCACGAGCACGGCCGCCGTGTGATGTTTTCGTCCACCGCTCAGTGGCCAATGGCAGCCCGAGCACAGTGCTTGCATGAGGCATTCCAACAAGGACCTTGCCTTCGAGGGTCGGAGGAATGGTCAGCGCTTCCGCGGCGGAGGGCGGCGGAAGGCGGCAGAAACAGAACTGCGTCGGCGCCGCCGGCGGGAGGCGGCGGAAGCTCAGCGGCAGCAGAGGTCGACCTTCCAAAAGATGACAACATGTTTGGGTTCAGGGTGTCCAGACCCTGCCATACACATATACATATACATACACATATACACGTAATGTGCATATACATATAGACACACATATATATATGTGTGTAGATATATCGTCATATACATTTATGCATACATGTATACATACACACACGTATATATGTATGTAGATAGGTATATGTACATATACACATAGAGATGCGCGTGACTAATTATATGGATGCATAGCGCCTAGCCGTATATATTTATACACATAGATGAGCATCGTAGCTTTGTTTTCGGCACTTGCTGCCCAGAGAACCGGGCCAGATACATATACACTGTAAGGTTGTCCTGCTGCGTTTCTGCGAAGCCCTATGGGACAGGGCCCGTATACCTCAGTATATGTTCGGCGGCGAGCGAGGGGGGGAAGAGAGAAGGAGAAGGCCTTCTTAGAAGGCTTCTGATTTTTGTTTTGAGCCTTCCCCGAAAACACATGAAACCTTTCAGAAGACCCGAGAGTTTCTGAGAAGCCCCGCTGCCTTCTGAGAAGGCCTTCTCCTTCTCACTTCCCCCCCTCGCCCGCCGCCGAAATGTACTCGCGCCTACCCCAAAACATAGCGATACCAAGAACTCAGAGCACGCTCGCTGCTCGTACTTCTTCGTGGGACCAGAGGGCCAAGGACCTCAGCGGGGGCTGGCCCCAGAGGCCCCGACCCCTTGCCAGATCGTTGGATAATCCACATCCCTTGTAAATCGACCCCCCCAAAAAACCGGACATCCCTCCAAATGCGACCTAATATTCTGGACCCCCCTCTTCGACGGGACGCCTTAGTGAACCGGATCCCCTGAGCTCCAATCCAAAGGACGCGCCCTAACAAACCGGACCCCCCCCCAGTTACAAAAAAAGGCGCCTTTAAAATCCGGACCCGGGGGACGACTAATCAGAGATTTGGAATGCAGATTCTTTTCTGTCGCGATCGGCAGCGACCCATCGGCACTCCAAATCGGTCGCGACCGATCGCGACCGATCCCAACATCGGTCTCGACCGGTCGCCTCCGATCGCGACCGATTCTGAAGCAAAGGTGTCGCGACCGATTTCGAGGAGCGATTGCTGGATTGAACAATCCGCGGACGACCTCAATCTTTGACCCAGGAACCGTATTGTGCATCGGAGGTTTCGGGGGTGAGATCGCAGTGGAACGGAGACCCCCAACCAGGACATCGTTTCGTTTCGGTCGTGTCGTGCGCGCGGGCGAGGCGAAGCTGCGTGGGCGCGCGAGAGGAATAAACCCGCCGTTGCTCGGGCGAAGTCAAGACAAATGTTGCTCCCCCGTCCGTCCATCCGCGCGTCCGTCCGGCGGTGGCTCGCGGTGTCCCGCGTTGTCCCGTGGTATCCCGTGGTATCCCGTGGTGTCCGCCGTTGCTAGGGCGAAGTCAAGACAAATGTTTCGCTCTCGTCCGTCCGTCCGGCGGTGGCTCGCGGTGTTCCGCGTTGTCCCGTGGTGTCCCGTGGTGTCCGCCGTTGCTAGGGCGAAGTCAAGACACATGATTATCCCCCGCCCGCCCGTCCGTCCGTCCGTCTGGCGGTGGCTCGCGGTGTCCCGCGGTGTCCCGTGGTGTCCCGTGGTGTCCCGTTGAGTGAGATCGATAGTGAGATTGATAGTGAGATCGACAAGTGTCCCATGGTGGCCCGTGGTGTCCCTGGGTGTCCCGTTGAGTGAGATCGATCGTGAGATCGATTGACTCAGATGTTGGTTTCCCCCCCCTCCCCCCCACACAACCTCCTTATCACCCGAAGGTTGGTCGTATAGGTAGTTTTTGCTGCCCTCGGAGCCGACAAACTATGCACCATAGTGATCGTGTTCTTATCCATTGTCTTGCCGGTCGGCGCGGGCCCTAACGCCACCTCCCCCCCAGGGAGTAGATCTTGTCTTTTTGTTGGCGCCTGTCTCGAGCAACTGGAGCCTCTCTTCCATAGGACGCGCTATTGCAAGCCGTCGCATTCCGCAGAGGTCTGGAGCGAGGCCGCCCTCAGAGTTCTCCCCCCTCCCCTTTCCGCTCGATGTCGACCGCAGAATCATCGATCATATGTAAGAGTGGCCTTTCGCCGGAGTGACACCCTTGGTGCGGGCCAAAAGGGGCCCCCCGATTGCCGCACGCGAGGCGGCAGTGGCGTCTCGCGGTCTTGTGTTTGGCCCCCCAAACACCGCGCACCAAAGGTCACTCTTACCCAGGTCACTCTTGCGTGCAGCCGAAATACGAAAGTGTTCACACAACGCGTTGGAGCGCAGCCTGAAGCGGGTCCAGGCATGGTGCGGTGCATGCGCACTGTTCGCGTATTGGTTTTTACCTTCGGAGGCCTCCTCGTTCTCCGCGCGCACCCGCGGGCTCGAGGAGCCGGCCCCCCAGAGGTCCCGACCCCGTCCCTTGGGGGTGGATTTTGCCGCCCCCAGGGGCCCAAGAACGGGCCCTGGGGGCCGACATCGAGAAGTCACCGCCGGACCGTGGAGGAGGCCCGGGCGGCGGGTGGCAGTGGGGGGTGACCCACGTGGGGGTTGCAGGAAAATGGCGAACGGGGCCCTTTGAGGCCCCTCTTGGACCCAGCTGGTCCCCTCAAGGGTCCCCAGAGGGCCCCCTTCGGGGCCCCCCCGTGTGGCTCACGCCCCAGCAGCTCAGCCACGCGCAGAGAGGGGGGTTAGGGGGTGGGTGGGGGGGGGGGAGGGCTTCTCACAAGCACCCCGGCTTCTTGGAAGGCGCGGGCCTCCTCTATAGATGTAAGGCCGGCCGGCGCCCTCTGAAAAGCAGCCTCCTCCCAAGGAACCCTCCCCCCTCCCCCCTCCCTCCCCCCCAGCTCGAAGGTTACCCCCCTCTTATGGAGGGACAAGTGCGACTGCAAAGCTGGTGCTGTATGGAGAGTGGGACACTCGAGCAGCAGTTGGGCCTGCCCTACAGTGGTGTCGTATGCTTTGGAATTCCCAGGTCAATCCCACTCGATCCCTAATTCCATTCCAGGAGCTGCTCCAACTTTGGGAGCAGGCCAAGGCCAGCGACGCTGGCGATTGGAGATCCAGCCGTGGCCCCTTGTTTCGCGCCACGTTATCGGCTCGTCGTGCTGGCTGGAAAGTGGTGTCAGGGACGCAGTGGATAGACCATTGGGGGTGCACTGTAGATTTAAGTAAGACCCCGCCTCGCCTCCTCCTCGACCTTCTGAGAGAAGGTTTGCAACGAGAGGCTGAGTTTCGTTTTGCACGCAGACTTGGACAGGTGCAGGGCACGCGTGCTACGTTCGACCTTGTGCGCAATTGCATGTGTACGCGTAGTAAGCATCACACTCGCCAGCAACAATTCCTACTTTTGTCCTGCGTCACGGATGCGATTTGGACTGAGGCTCGCGCGTGCGATGCTGGTTACTTAACTGATGGCATGTGTGTGTGCGACCAGCGTGACACGTTGCACCATAGGCTGTACACCTGTGAGCGACCAGAGGTTTTGGAGGCCCGACGAGAACTTGAGGTCCCGTCGGAAAGTTTAGAGGAGGGGGCACACAGCGATGATCCTGTGTTCACTCGTGGGCTTTTTACCTTCTCTGATGATGATGTGCCCCCTCCTGCCTCGCATTCCCATTGTGACACTGCTGACGGCGCAGGAGCCGATTTGAATATGCAGCCTGAGGATCTTGCGGCGCTCGCAGGAGACGTCGGGCAACTGGAGATGGCGTCGGACGGGAGCTGCACGAAGCAGGCCCTTCGCTGTCTCCATCGAGCTTCGTGGGCGATCGCGCTCATGGAGCCAGGCACTGAGTCTCTCTTGGCCGTCCTCAGGGGTATTGTGCCTGGCGGTCTCCCCCAAACCCCTGCGATGGCGGAACATGCGGGGGCGGCCCTAGTCGGGCAGGTAGCTGATCGTCCCACTTCCCTGGCCCTGGATTGTAAAGCTGTGATTTGTCAGACCCAGAGGCTTCTTTGGAAGCAACTAGCTGGTTCTAATAAACATGCTGGTGCGAGGCGTTTTGCCCATGAGCTAGCAGGAACGGAGTTCCTGTCGACCTTCCATGTAAAGGCCCATCGGGAGATGTCTGCTCTCGAGGAGTTAGAAGGCGAAAATCGTAGGTTTGGGTTTGCGAATCGTGCTGTGGACCAGCACGCAAAGCAGGCCCTTGAGGGCCACCCGCGGCCCCTGCCCGCGTTTTTTGACCGTGTAGACTTGTATCAGAAGCGAGCTGATGTGTTCATAAAGCTTGCTACTGCACTTTTACCCCTCTTTAAAAATGAAGTGCGTTGGAAGAGGGCTGCTTTCAACACCCAGGGGAGAAGCCGCCAGCAGAAGACTTGGCACCTCTGGAGGCGAACTGAACTTGGGACGCAGTGCAGGTATTGTTGGACGGTGTGCGATCGACCCGATAGGCCCATGTTCGGTTGCAGGGGTCCGCCTCCTGCTCTCCAGAAGCTGCTGCGTGATCCCCTGGGGCATCAGCTCGTCGCCGTGTCGGGCGCGGCTCTTGAGGCTCCGCGGTCGGAGGCTGTCCTGGGGCCCTGTAGAGAGCAGCAGATTCGGTGTTTAAAATGCGGGGGTTGGTCTCAACGGAGAGCCGTGAAGCTCGCTGAGGTCTGTGGCAAGCCTACGCGTAAGGGACTGGATGTCCTCAGCCGTTTTAGGCGGGGGCTTGGCCCTAACACAAAGATTCGTGAAGTGCTGGACAAGGCGTTGCCTGTAGCACATTTAGACGTTGCCTGTGACACGGACGATAAGCCCGAGCTGTGTGTTACCTCAGTCCCGCAAGCGTTTTCGGACTCTCCCTCGGCCCCCTCGTATGAGCAGCGTATGGCGGCTCTTGCTGCCAGGATTAAAGCTAAAGAAGAGGCAAGTGCCTCTGGGGCGGTTTAACTCGGGTCGATCCCCCCACAAGCTTTTGGTGCTGTCACCTCCCGACCTTTCAAGGCGCTGTCCATCCATCCATCCCCCCTCCCTCCCTCCCCCCTCCCTCCTCCCTCTCCCTCCCTCCCTCCCTCCCCCCTTCCCCCTCCCCCCTCCCCCCTCTCCCCTCCCCCCTCCCTGCTCCCAAGGAGCCCTTCCCCCTCCCTCCATTCCCCCTCGTGCGCGCCCGCCCGCCAAGCAGCACCCGCCCGAGAAGGGGCCGCGCCTCGACGGAGCACGCCCTGCCGTCGGGAGGGCGGGCTCTCCGTGCGCCCCCTTTGCCCCGAGAGGACCAGCGGGAGCTGGCGCGGAGGTGCCACGGCTACGTCGGGGCGGACCTGCGCGGCGTGTGCGCGGCGGCCGCGCGCGTGGCGCTGCGGCAGGGCCGCCGCCCCGGAGCCGCTTGCCCTCGGGAGGATCGAGGAGGAGGACCGACGAGGAGGAGGAAGATCCAGGGGGAGGAGGAAGAGTAGGAGGAGGAGGAGTAAGATCGAGGAGGAGGAGGAGGAGGAGGAGGAGGAGGAGGAGGAGGAGGAGGAGGAGGAGGAGGATCGAGGAGGAGAGCTCCGAGTCCGGGGCTCCTTGCCCAAGGGGTCGTCTTTCTCTCTTTCGAACCAGAGGGCGAGGACCTTGTGTGGTTTACACAATCTGGCCTTCGAGCATGTCTGGCTGAGGCCGTCCTGTGCTCACACGTCGGCTTCCCATCTTCTGAGAACATGGTGTAAATTATTAGAACATTCCATTGCTCTAATAAGAACTTGTCATGGTAGGCAGAGAAGAATGCTGGCACGGTCGGTCCCTGCTCAATCTCCTCTCCCCGAGCGCGTTCCACTACTCGCAAAGTGCCTACTCGCATACGTCCGAAACAAACATGCACACGTTCGCCTCGACGTGCTGTATCGTAGGTCGCCCGCAGCGGGTCCAGGCCATGTGCGAGTAGTTACTTTGCGACTAGTGGAGCGCGCTTGTGCATCCTCTAGACCCAGACCTCCTCGCGTCGTGACAAAGTCGCGGCGTACAGGTTTGGCTATTCTCGGGGCCCACGCCGGGCCCCGAGGCCGTCGAGGAACGACTCGGGATGAGGAGCTCGCCCCGGGGATTGCGTCGAGACCTCCTTGGGGGTCAACCATACCACTGGATGGCAGGTGTTCCTGGCCGCGATCGGCCGCGACCGATTCGGAGTGCGGATGGGTCGCTACCGATCGTGACCGAACTGAAATCCACTTATCTGGGAGAGGCTGTCCTATCTTTTTCTAGACTCATGCAATGATACTTGTCCCTCCCCTCCTTCCCCTTCTCCCCCTTCGCCGCCTTCTTTCAATTAGCGCTGGGCCGAAAAGGCGTGCAAGTGGGTCCCACTTGCGTGAAGCCCAGGCTTTCTTTCGGTCCTCCCCCCTACGTGCAAGTACTCTTGCCGACGTTTAGAGAAACACGGCCTCACGAAATCTGGCGTTTTGGGGAAACATCGCTCTTGTTTGTTCGCCCTTGGGCTCCGAGGCTGGGACTCGTGCCAGAGGAGGAACAGGTCATGATAATGATACGTTTTGTCAGTCCCACGACTTGCAGTGGAGCTCCATGCCAAGAAACACCCCGCTTGCCTCCAGGGTGCCCTGGGTTTCTTGGGTTTCGATGGTTTTGCAATGGAAAGCGTCAAACATCAGTGGACGCCCTGGTGTCTCAGGGTTGGGTTTCTTGTGGAATGTTTCTTGTGGTCGGACTCTGGCTGTACGTTTTCACAATTTTTGACTTAGCAGACGTCCCAGCTGTTCTAGTAATTCCACACGGCCTGCAGAAACGAAAGTCGGTTGATCTTCCGGAGCTCCTGGAACGTATCCTGAGTCAGTCACATCATGTCTTCATTTCCTGGTTCATCTATGGGGTCCTGAGGGATGGGATCCAAACGAAGAGTTTCCTCAAGCAACGTAAATCTACAGCTCGATCCCTTCCTATCCTCAGGTCCCCATCTTTCAGGACCCAATCTTTGAACCACCGATCATTCTCGTCCAATCATGCTCAGGCATCGGGCGCCTCGGGAAAGACGGAAAGGTTGGTTCCCAGACACCCTCGCGTCGGGACACAAATCAGGTTGTTTTGTTTGCGGATTTCGGCCTACGGGGCCCCCACCCGGCGCCAGGAACGTCAACAAGAGTTGTTTGGGATGAACGGCCAGCCTTGGGGACAGGACTGGGACTTCCAGGGAGCCCGTATCGACAAAAAAGAGGCATCTGCAGAGGGGGCAACCACGTACACCACCACCAGCTCCCTCACACCCTCCCCTCCCAGGGAGGAGGAGGGGACGAGGAGGAGGGAGGAGGGAGGGGGAACGGAGGTGGGGGTGGTGGATATGCTCGGGGCCCGCAATTCGGATCGCTGGCTCACCCAGACACCTGGCGCCTCTGAGAAGTCGGGGAGGTGTGACCATGCCTGGCGCCTGGAAGCCCGTGCGGGGCCTCGAGGCCGTCCACGCAAACGGGTCGGGATGGCAACGCGGACCTGGGGAAGCGGTCGAGCGCTCCTCCGGCGTGACCTTTGGTGCGGACCCGTTGGTCGAGAAGAAAAATAAGTACTATAAACATACACTTTCGCTGCTGGACCTGCACTGGGCCCTCCTGGCGCCGCCCCTGGCGCGCTCCGCGCGCCAGGGAGGGGGGCCCAGCGCGGATCCGAGAAATCCGCGCGGACCTCCAAAAGTTTATGTTTACACCATCTTCGTTCTTCCAATTCGGGTCTCCTGATCGCCGAGCGCGATTGCGATAGTAGCGTCTTCCGCGCCTGTGCGTTGGCCCCACGCGGCCCCCCGAAAGCCGCGGACCAAAGGTCACTCTTGCCCAGGGTCACGCCTGCGTATGGCCGAACGGAAGCCTGTATGGGGCCTCGGGGCCGTTCACGAGAACGGCGCGGGATGGAAACCTGGGCCTGCGGGAAAGTTGTTGAGCGCTCCGGGGGGTCCACGCCTCGACACGTCGGAGCGCTGCACGTCCTGGGTAGCACATGCACCCACCGCCTTCGAGCAGTAGCGAAGCGTCCTGGCTTGCCTATGACCCACCAAGGAATGTTCTAAGAACCTCTTTAGTGGTATGCACGAAATGTGCTGAGAGAATTTCTGCCTGGGACTGTCTTGTTTTAGCACATCGGCATTATTTACGCTCTAAGTTTTTTTGGTTCTCACAACATTTCCTTAGCTTTGAGCAGATTTCGTGGTAGGCCTATGAGAATGCTGAAACGGTCGGTCCCTGCTCAATTAATGCGCATTCTCAGGTTCTGCCCCGACGTCACGGTTTGTTTCACAACGTCGACCCCCGGAAGTCTCGAACCCTTCCACAGCATCGGTTTTTCATTCTGAGCAGTTGTTTGACGGTCCTGGGGCCCAGCAAGGGCTCCCATAGGCCGAGCATAGCAGCCATCTGTCCGTCGTGAGTTTTTTGACGGCACGAGGTGGTGTGGGCATGTATCCGTTGCCTCCTGCGCTCCTGAGGCATCGGTTCCCCGGGCGGTTGATGTGCTGAGGAGGCTGGCGACCAGGCGAGGATCGAGGCCGAGGATCGATAATCGAGGGTTTCGTGGCTCCTCTCGGCGGCCAGCGAGGGGGGGAAGTGCAAAGGAGAAGGCCTTCTCAGAAGGCTCGGAATCCAGGCCTCCCAGATGGGGTCGGAGTAGTTGGGGTCGACGGATCGCGCCGCCTCGCCGATGCATCGGCGATGCGGTGTGATGCGGAGCCCGATTTGCTTCACGACGACGTCGCCGATGCGTCGCCGACGTCGACGATGTATCGCCAGTGCATCACCGATGCATCGCCGATGCGTCGCCGACGTATCGCTGATGCAGCGTGATCCTCCGAACCCATCTACTCCAACCCCATCTAGGAGGCCTCTATACCAAGCCTTCCCCGAAGACACAGAAGACTTCTTAGAAGGCGCGAGGGCTTCTGAAAAGTCCCGCCGCCTTCTCAAAAGGCCTTCTCCTTCTCACTCCCCCCCCTCGCCCGCCGCCGACTGTTGGGAGCTGTTTCGCTTCGGGATTGCTTACCGGCAGCCGCGCCTCGCTGAGGGCGTTTTGGATGGTGTCCGGATCGTCTGGAGCGGCCGCAGGAGGCCAGAGTTCGGGCACGGAAGTGACAGGTCAGGACCGGGGTTCGAGAGTCGAGTGTCTTCCTTAGGGAGGGGCGCTTGGAGGTTTTCCTCCCGGAGGCTCCTGGAGGGGTCCGCTTCAAACTTCCGGCCATCACCGCACCCCGCGAGAGGTCAAGAGGCCAACCTCCTGGGAGGAGGCCCCCAGACTTTTGCTGGACTGTTTTTCGCAATCCCGGCGTTTCTCTGGAGCTTCGCCGTTGACCAGCAGTCTGAGGCTCTGGCCTGCCCCGCGGCCAGCCTCAGGGTACTTTCGATGTCTCTTCATGGGAACCGTGGGCGGCGACACTGAAATCAGCTGTTCCTGCCTTTGGACTTCGTTTGGACCACATTTGGCCCATCCTCCTCCTCTCCCCTCCTGTTCCCCCTCCCCTCCTCGTTCTCCTAGTCTGGTCCAAATCTGGTCCAAAGTTGTTCCAAATCCGGTCCAAATCAGGCCCGAATTGGACAGCGCCGGGGGCCACGCAGGCTCCCATGGAAAGGACACCAGGGGTACTCAGGGCACCCTCGCCGCGAGGGGTGCTCACCTCCCCGCCCTCGGCGCGGGCCGGCCCCTGGGATCCGGGCATGGCAGGCTTCTCTCTCGCAACCGCGCGTCCTCGCCCCGAGGCGGGCCCCGCGCAGGCATCACTGGATAACCGTTCTTGCGGTCGCGGTCGGTGGCGACCGATCGGCAATCCAGATCGGTCGCGATGGATCGCAGCCGAGTCCAGGATCGGTCGCGACCAATGTTGAAGCAAGCCGCTTGCGACCGAGACCCGAGTTTGAAGCAACATCGGCGGTGACCCATCTCTCGTCGGTCCCGCGCCCAGAGAAATTTCGGCACCACTTGGCATCCAAGGATCATTACACCAGAGAAAAACTCCAAGCAGTGGATGGTTTTCGCTGAGGAGATCGACCAGGAACCGGGAAGCCCGGGAACCCAGAACCCACCGAAATCGGCCCGGAAACAATGACGGGGAACCCGGGAACCTGGAACCGGAAACCCGGAAACCTAGCCTGCTACCAAAACCGGCGGGAAACTTTCGCCAAATCTTTCAACTTCCGCCAGGACCCCTTCAGTGCAAGCACTGATGGGAGAATGTCGAGGGTCCTCGCGGCTACGCGCAGGGGGCAGCCTCTCGCCAGAGCGACCTCTTGCTGCGGGCCCACACGGAGGGGGGCCCCACGACACGGGCCTGCGCCTCCCGATGGGAGTGCCCCCCGCGGCCCCGTCGGAAGCCGCGCGCGCCAGAGCTCGCTCTTGTGCCTGGGGCCGCTCCTGCGCGCGAGGCCGAGCCTCGTGGACTGAGCTCTTTGGCATCCCCTTGGCGTCTGCTGCCTTGGGCGCTTCCTGGATGCGCTTGCGCAGCGCGAGCGAGGTGTCATGGGAGGGGTGCGTGGAGCGAGATGCGCCGAGGCGCCCCGGCGATCCCTCGTGCCGGCTCCGAGCCGGCACGAGAGATGCCGCCGGAAATTGGGGTCTCTTCCACATCCCTTATTCATCGACCCCCTCCCTAAAAGACGGGCCCCCCCCTCCGAATGCGACCTGGTAACCCCCCTCTTTGGGGGGGCGCCTTGATAAACTGGACCCCTTAAGTTTCAATCCAGGGAGAGCTCCCTTCAAAAACCGGACCCTCCCCAGTCACAAAAGCGGCGCCTTAAAACAACCTGACCCGGGGGACGAATAACATGGGATTTGGAATAGGGTTCAGTCGGGCATATCACTCGACAGGAGGAAGATCCAAACATACCCGAGTTACAAAAAAGGCGCCTTAAAAACCAGACCCGGGGGACGATCAATAAGGGATTTGGAATAGGGTTCAGCCGGACATGTCCCTCTGCAGGAGGAAGATTCAAACATAAGCAAAAAGGGTCAGGGGACGATTGTTAGATTATTTGTTTGACTATGTTTGCATTTGTTTTTGGCAATGCCGTTGCTTCCTGACAAAATCAGCCTGTATGGGCTGTGGCTCACGAGGGCCAGCGGAAGCCTGACAGAGGCCGACGGAAGCGGAATCGACCGACGCGACCTGGGCCTTTGGAGCGGGCCGCGTGGCACAGCGCAATCATGAGATCCGACGTCACGAAAAACGTTACAGTACAGTGGAGGCCCATGCCAAGAAACACAACACCCATGCGAAAATACACCCGGGGCTTCTTGGGTTTCGATGGTTTTGCGATGGAGAGCGTGATGTTCCCACCAAAAATCAATGGACGCCCCGGGGTCTCAGGGTCGGGTTTCTTGTGGAAGGTCTCTTGTGGACTGGCCTCCACTGTATTGTAGACACTCACAACCAGAGCCCTAGACCCGATGTCGCTGCATTTCCCGAGCCCGATCGATCCGCGAGGGCCCCGCGGTCCGATAAAAGGAGCAGCTGCCGTGCGCTGGACTGCTGCAGCGCCGGGATATCGGGAAGCACCGAGGCCTGGACACCATCGACCTGGCCAGCTGCCTGTCGGCGATGCGCTTGGTCCCCCCCTCGGCGCTGAAGGATTGGGTTTTTTCCAGTGCGGCTCGTTCGCGCCCTACCGACACGTCCAGGGTTGCGACAGGGAGGAGTTGTTTCTATGAAGGACTAGATGACGAGGAGGAGGAGGAGGAGGAGGAGGAGGAGGAGGAGGAGGAGGAGGAGAGGAGGAGGAGGAGGAGGAGGAGGAGGAGGAAGAGGAGGAGGTCGCAGTGGCTCCGAAGGGGGCACGGCGGCGACGGCATCGGAGGGCCTCTGGTCCTGGGCCTTCCTGGAAGCCCAGGCCCCCGCGTCGTGGAGACGTGACCACGACGGACAGCTTCGCTACTTTCGGCCTCCAGGGGCTTTCGCAGGGCATGCGGTTCCCCGCCCATCTCGGCACCCCCCTCACAGGTTTCGTGGCCCCACAGGGAGCTCCACCGAAGGCCCCAGTGGCAGGGTTCGCCTGCCGTTCCCCGCCGATTTCTGCACACCAATCACACGCTTCGTGGCCCCATAGGGTGGCCCTCCGAACCATGGACCCAGAACGCGGTATCGACAACTGCTTATGGTTGGGTTCTTCGTCAGGCTCATTTACAAAAAAGCACAAGCACACACCACATAACATAATGAAGTCTGGGAGCCTTGCGCGCAGAAGCCCCACAGGTCGGACTCAGACACATATATATATATATATATATATATACATATATGTATATATATATATATGTATATTGTGCTGCTCGCGTGCGCTTGACTTCCACACGGGCGGTGCGGACGCTGCAGCATATCTTGCAGTGTGAGCGCCGTGGCTGGCGTGGTCTGGCCACCATGCCCAGGTGAGAGCATGCCACAGGCTGCTTGCGCCATGCGTTCCGGTCGGACGTGTGCCTCCATTCTGATCATTTGATATTGGATTTTTCCAGTCGCGACCAGCGAGAAAGGTCGCTACCGATTTTGCTGAACAAAATCTGAAACTAGTCGCGCCCGATTCGTTTCAAAATCGGTCACGACCGATCGGCCGCGATCGGTGGCGACTGGTCCCGACCGATTTTGGGATCAGTCGCGATCGGTCGCGAACGATTTGGAGTGCCGATCTGTCGCTACCGATCCCAACCGAACAAAAATCGTCATCCAATGATCTGGGAAGAGAGGCGCGCAATATTCGTAATTGAGTCCCACGCCCCCCCGCAGGAGCTGCTGCCATTTTCAGACAAAGAGGGGCCCGAGCTCGAGCAAGGGCCTATGAGCGATGTGTCCCTCTGATTGATTCGGCGCTGCGGCAGGTTCGCCGTCGTGTCAACCGGCGACGACCCCGCCGTCTGCGTTCCATGTTGAACGCCGCTGGGGGCTCAGAATCGCCCCCTCGTGGAACGATGCGACGTTTCGGGAAACAGGTGGTCGTTCAATGGAGAAGGATCCCCGCGGTGTCAGCAAGCAACGCCGAAGTTGGCACGACGCGAGCCTGCCGTACGCGCCCGTCGCCAATTGTCCAGGCAGCCTGCCGAGGCGGCGCTTCTCCTCCCTCCTTGGGCAGAGCCGAGGGCGCCCAGGTGCCGTTCCGCGCCATCCGCCTCGGAACGGCCGCGCGCCGTTCGTTCGTTCGTTCGTTTCCTCGGGAGCACCACTCGAGAAGCCCAGAATGGCCCAGAATGGAGCGCGCCGTTCGTTCGCTCGTTCGGACAGGGACACCCCTCGCGGAGCCCGTGAGGGCCCTGGGGGCTCCAGAGTGGCGCGGGGAGCTGCGTGGGGACACCCTGGGCACCAGAGGGCCCCCTTGGGCAGCACCCGCGGCCCGATCCCCCTCCCCGCCTCCCGCGACAGGAGCTGCTGGTGGAGGTGCCCGAGGTGGGCTGGGGCGACATCGGCGGCTACGAGTCCACGAAGGAGGCGCTGCGGGAGGCCGTGGAGCGGCCCGCCTAGCCGCCGCCCCCCGCCCCCGCCGGTTGCGTCGCGGCGGCGCGCGGCGAGCCGCACACGCTGCGTTGCTGCAGTCTGCGAGGGGCCAACCCAGGTGGTGAAAGCTGTGTGCTGCAGGCTGCGTGGTGCTATTCGAATCGAAGGGGGCAAATTAGGTACATGAGACCAGAGAACAACCCCAATCAGATGTTTGTTGGGGCTATGGGGCTCATAGGACTTTAGGGTTACTGGGCTAGTGGGCTAAAGGGCTATGGGACTATGGGGCTGTAGGGCTATAGGGCTATAGGGCTATAGGGCTATAGGACTATAGGACAATAGGGCTATAGGGCTATAGGGCTACAGGGCTACCGGGCACCCACGGGCACCCACGGGCACCCGGCCACCCGGGTACCCTGCCACCGGGCACCCACGGGCACCCGGGCACCCGGGCACCCGGCCACCGGCCACTGGCCACCGAAATCCTGGGGCACCGGGCACCCACGGGCACCCGGGCACCCGGGCACCCGGCCGCCGGCCACCAAATCGGCGCCGCACCTCACCTAACCATATGAATCCGTCAGGACCCCTACAGAGGCAAGCTCTGATTGGGGAACATACACATTGTTAATTTCTAATTATTCCAAAATTCTTTCATGTTCTGGGGGGCCAAGATCCTTTCGTTTCTAATTGTTCTATCCTGAGCCTCTTCCTGACCGCAGGGGGGCCAGGAACAATTAGTAACGAGCACAATAAGAAATGAGCACGATTAGAAACGAACGACGTATACACTTATCAGAGCAGCGCGCGGATCTCTTGGATCTGCGCCTGGTCCACCTGGCGGCGCCTCTGGCGCCGCCCCTGGCGCGCTCCTGGCGCGCCAGGGAGAGGCGTCTGGCGCAGATGCAAGGCATCCGCGCGGACCTCCAAGAGTTTCTGTGTACGTATCTTGTTGTTGGTTCCTCTACAGGGTCCGGCTTGACCAAGGAACGCTTACTTTTCGAAAGGGGTTCGGTCGTTCCTTTGGTTTGCATGCATTGTGCTACCTTTTTGATGGTAGGTCAGGCGAATCCTGTATTTACGTGGTGCAAACTATGTGGTGCAATATGTTTGATGAATGCTATGTGGCTCCAGTCACCCAGCGCACAGCACCCGGCGTGACCACCGCCCACACTCGTACAAACATCCCGCCCACACACCCGCAACGTGCCAGCAAAGCTCATATGGTCGTGGTCTCAACGAGCGCACGGGTTCGTGGATTTCACCCGCGCAGACAAAGCTGTCGTCCAGGTAGTTGGTGGCGGTGGTGACGGGCGCGACGCCAACGACGATGGCGATGACAGTGGTGACGACGCTGAGGCCGATGGCGATGACAGTGGAGATGGGGGCGATACTATGTCGACGACGACGAGGGTGATGGTGATGAAGATGATTGTGATGACAATGAAGGTGGCACTGGCAATGGTTATAACGATGGTGTCAGTGTTGATGATGAGGAAGTGCCCGCGCACAGAACTTCTTCGAGGGCGACGACTTCAACGATTGCAGAGAGTTGACGATGTTCCCTACGATGGTGATGATCATGACGATATCAATGCTGACACTGATGCTGGTAACGTGTCTTTGATGAGGATGAGAAAGTACTCGCCCGCAGAAGTGCAGACACCGTCATATTTTTCACACACCATTGTGTTTTCGTAAGGTTTGAAAGCCGTGGTACTGACACTGTTGCATACAAAGACAAGCGTTTGATGCACGCGCGCGGAGACGCTCTCGTGTGACTCGCATGGTATGATTTGACAGCGGTGGTGGGCGCGCAATGGTGGTGGAACCTTTGCGACATGCGCCCGCACGTGGCCCTCAGACAAGGTTTTCACAGGATGGCTGAAAACCCATGTTGCCCTTGAGATGTCAACGAGTTCACGCGCGCAGTCTTCTGGATAGTTTGACTGAGTTGCCTAGTTGGTCGTGTTTGACCAGCCATGCCTTGAACAGTTTCAAAACATGAAATCCACAGCATCCGATTTTGACGTGCGTTCGCGGCGGCGCGCGCATGTGCCCAGCCTTGCTTCTTTCGCAGCGGGCTCTTAACACAGAAAACATCAGATCAACGAATTCGCACCGCATGCTTGTTTTGCAGGGGATGGCGGCGGAGGGGGTGATCGATGTTTTTTTTTGTAGCTGGGATGTAACGATTCCCAAACAGTTCTTGCACTGAATGTCTGCCTACGGATGGTCTAAGGAACTGGGCCTGCGCGTCGGTCTGACGGCCACGTCGTCGCCTCGTGGCCGCCCGTCGTCTGGGCCTGCGCGTTGTTTTGCCGGCTATGTCGTCGCCTTCGCCGCCCCGCCGCCACCCCCTCGCCGCCAGTCGTTCTGGCTTCGGGTCCGCCGCCCTGTGGTCGCCGTCGCCGCCCCGTCGCGGCCTCGTCGCATTGTTGTGCATTGGATTGCATGGGTCTGCACTGTTCTGCATTGCTTTCTGTGGATTTGCTTCGCATCGCTTGATTGGCCATTCATTGCTTTGCGTTGCCCTTGACATTGCATTCCTTTGCATCGCGTGGCCTGGCTTTGCACTGCTATGCGCAACATTGTTTTGCACTGCTTTGCATTGCTTGGCGTTGCTTGTCGTTGCTTTTGTGTTATTTCTTACTTCTTCTCTCGACATTGCTCCCACGTGCGGTTCCTCGTTTCGTCTCTAAGCAACCCGTCTTGCGGGTCGCCCTGGCGCCGTGTGGCCGCCGTCGCCGCCTCGTCGCCGCCCGTCGCCGCCCGTCGCTTGCGGGCCGCTCTGGCCGCCATGTGGCCGTCCGTCGCCGCCCGTCGCCTGGGCCTGCGGGCCCTTCTGGCCGCTGTGTGGCCGCCGTGGCCGCATTCGTCGCCGCCCGCTTTCCACTCCTTCGCATTTGCTTTGCGCTGCGAGCAGTGGCTCTCCCAGTCCTGTAACCCCACAGATCGCTTGTTTATAGACAGGGCAATTCGGATCTACCGCATTTTTCCTCCCAGACTTCGCCGGCTTGGGTTTGCATATGATGTTGCCTTTTTGTTACTTGAATGTGAAGTCGTATCATCCCGACGAGACCGGGTCCCATCCCTCAGCCTTGACAGATGATACCATGAGCGCGCCTTCGTTTATCAACAATCATGTTTTTTAGATTTGCGCAGCAACAATAGCTTAGCGAAGGACCCAAACATATGCAATTGTGAATACCGCAGTTGTGAGTATCATGTCCTGTGGAGCTCTCCATGCGGCCACGAATTGTTTCAGGGGTTTCCCAACATGGGTGGTGCGGAGGAATGCGAACGCAGACACTGGGGCCTTCGTTGGAGCTATCTATGGGGCCACGATGCGTGTGAGGTGTGTGCCGACATGGGCTGCGCGAGCGCATGCGACCGCAGCCACTGGGGCGTTCGGTGGAGACCCCTATGGGGCCACGAAGCGTGTAATTGGTGTGCCGATGTGTTTACGGTGGGTCCATGCAAACGCAGCCATTGGGGCGTTCGGTGGGGTTCCCCGTGGGGCCACGAATCGTGTGAGGTGTGTGCCGAAATTGTAGCCGTTGGCCCATGCGAACGCAGCCGCTGGGGCCTTGGTGGAGCTGTCTATGGGTGTGACGGGTGTACCGACATGAATGGGATGGGCCCATGCGAACGCAACCGCTTGGGCCTCTCTATGGGACCACGAAGCGTGTGAGGGGTGTGCCGGCAGGGGTGGCGCGGACGCATGCGAACGCAGCCACTGGTGCGTTCGGTGGTTTTCCCATGGGGCCACGAAGCGTGTGAGGTGTGTGTGTGTGTGTGTGTGCCGAGACGGGCGCGGTAGGCCCATGCGAATGCAACCGCTGGACCTTCGGTGGTCCCCTCAATGTGGTCACAAACGGTGTGATGGGGTGTACCGACGTAGGCGCAGTGGGCGCATGCGAACCCAGCCATTGGGGCCTTCTGTGGAAATCCCGATGGGGCCACGAAGCGTGTGAGGGATGTGCCGACATGGGTTCGATGATAGACGCATGCGAACGCAAAACTTGGGGCCTTCGGTGGATTTCCCGATGGGGCCGAAGCGTGTGAGGGATGTGCCGAAATTGTAGCCGTTGGCCCATGCGAACGCAACAGCTTGGCCTTCGATGGGGCTCCCCATGGGGCCACGAAGCGTGTGAGGGGTGTCCCGAAATGGTCGCGGCAGAAGAGTGCGAACGCAGCCATTGTGGTGATAGGTGGTGCTCCGTATGGGGCCACAAAGCGTGTGAAGGGTGTGCCGGAATGGGCGCGATGGGCGCATGCGAGCTCAGCCATTGTGGCCTTCGGTGGAGCTGCTGGTGAAACAACGAAACGTGCGAGAAGTGTACCGCAATGGGTGCGGTTGGCCCATGCGAACGCATCCAGTCGGGCTTTCGGTGGAGCTCCCTAGGATGCCACGAAACTTTTGATGGATGTGCCACAATGGGCGCGTTGGGCCCATGCAGACGCAGCCGCTGGAGCCTTCGGAGGAGCTCCCAATTGCGCCAGGAAGTGTGTGATGAGTGTGCCGAAATGGGCGCGGTGGGCGCATGCGAACGCAGCCGCTGGGGCCTGCCCGTGGTGCCGCAACGCGTGTGAGGGGCCCGCTGGAACGATGATAACAGCGATGAAGGCACTGACGATGTTGATAGAGACGAGGACACACGGAGGGCAGAAGCAAATATGTGAGGAGTCAGGAGGGGAAAGAGACGCGCGCACGTCGAAATCGAATTTTCATCACGGAGAGGTGGACGTCATCATCGTCATCGGCGTGATCGGTATCGACAGCGTTATTGGCCTGGCCGTCGTCATCGTCAGCATAGTCACCAGCGTCACTAATCATCATCGTTTCTGCAGTCGTCGACGTCGCCATGATACCGCAGCCGCCCGAGCCATTGACGCGCACTGAAGTGCCCGCGCGTCAGCGCGGTCTGCGAGACGCGTTGAGAAGTCCCCAGCGGTCAGCGCCACTGTGGCCGCGTCGGTCGCGCCAGACTAGCTGGCCGCTCTGCGCGCG